CTAAACGAGTCCCTATGTCATTGGTGTGTCCTATATCCGACTCGAATTCCAATTTTTCCGGCTGTAAAAATAAGCCCCGTGGTGAGTCAGTAGCAGGTATATCAGTGGATGCATAGTTTGTCTGTCCGTTGTTCCTCGATTGTGTCCGTGGCGCTTGTATTTCATATACACGAAAACTAAGCGGTGGTCGCGCAGGTCGTGTACCAAAATCAGCACTAGCTATTGGCTCCGATTCGACCGGCTGTGCGTTTCGGCCTTGCCGCGAGGCTTGTCTGTAGCGTCGTAAACACTCGCATTGGTATCTGGACTCTAGCTGTTCAATTCCAATGGGCGCCGATATTAAAGAGTCGAGAACCGAGAGAGCTGATGGTCTCTTCAGTAATCGAAGGAGAGCCGGTCGCATGAGTGATGAAAAGAGAGTGGTGGGAAAAGAGTAACGAATATTGTAATCATCCTCCTCGCCTATGCCTCATATGTCGAAATTCATCAGGGTCGGGGAGTCAAAAGGAGTGTCTCTAATCGCCTCTGAAGCTCTTTGATATCGCGGACACTTTTTGGCAATGACGGAGACCGATAATGCGCTATGCTATTCTAGGTTAGGCTTTTCAAAAATCACATGAGAGCCATCCTTTACTAAGCAATGCACCTGAAAGGCGGAGCGATCAGGAAAGTCACGTGATATTAGACTCCCAATTCGGATCCACACCTCACGACATCGAATGATCACTGCTGCCAGTCTTTCACCTGCCATTGTCGTCTCTTTCTCCTCAACCCCCTCAGTCTTTCGCATTTGCGCACCGCCAAAATGTTCCGCACCGCTCCTCGTATGGCCGGGTATGTACTTTTCAATTGTTACTTAACTGGCATATCCGCGCACAGATCCAGCAATTGAGTCCCGCTTCTCCGGTGAATTTGGTGCTCAATTGGCCGAGTCATGCCCAGTCGACCCCCGGTGAATACAGCTGAAGCTGATATCTCAATTTTGCTCCTCTAGATTCGTGTTCCGTGAGAACCGTGTCCCTTACTACCAGCGTCTTTTCCAGCAGCACGACGGCAAGCGTCAGTGGTGGAAGGTCAGTTGATCTACAGATTAAGCGTGTACGATATGTCGGAGAAGAACAACATCCTAATTACTTCAATTGCTACTTAGACCGAGCGTAGCAAGTACGTCATGTACCCCTACCTCTTGTCCGTCTACGGCCTGGGTGCTGGTGAGTGTTGTCTGCATATTCTGGATGCCTGTTTAAATGCTAACTTATCTTAGCTACCACCTACGCTATGATCCGCATGGTCTTCGTATGTCGCCCTGCTACTCCTTGGACTATGCGTGGCTTCCTAGCTAAAGCATCCTATACATTGTGACAACTGTACTAACACTATATACAGGGCCACAAGACCTGGTTCGGCAAGGAATAAATGGGGTTCTCGCCAAGCTACGTTTGTCATAATAAACAAAATAACAGCATTGTTGCCATTGGTGGTGTATCTCTATTTTCAAGATGGCTTGTTTTGAGAGAAAGATATTCAGCGTTGTATATAAGATAAGCTAGGGCGTCAATGTGTGGATTCTTTCCTCAACTCAATCCTTAAGTTTCCGGTTGCAGGCTCGCTGTATCCATGGATAGACTATAATAATCTTGCATGATACTTATACCCAGTGCGTTTTTGAAGAGGCCATTCAGTGAGTTCCTGTCGTTTTGTGTGCGGACGGCACATGTGCGATGAATCCCTCTACATAGTAGTCAGGAATTGGCTAGACGAAACAATTGCATCCGTATGTCTTTCTTCCGCTTGTACATTTGGAGAGAGTGCAATGCTCATAGCTATAAACATCTATCAGCTGACTCCGGATGATTTTCGAGAGCTGCCCTGTAGCTTAGTAAGCCATTTTGGCGGCGATTGCATCCAATGGATGTTGTCCGGCTAAACCACTGTATCCATATCAACCATGTTCACTCGATATAGAAGGCGACAAGCATCGCAATGTACATATGACTTGCTTGCGTAGTCATGCTATACTTAGCACATATGAGCTGCTCTTACTCGCATGTTTCGTTTAGTGATCGAGTGTCGCACTAAGTCAAGTATATATTGGTATGCTACTCCACATTATGTCATGATAAACATCGGGTATCCTGACAGTGCCTCGCAGGTATTCATACCATACTAATTTCCAGCGGAAATGAACCGTACATCTGCTGGGCGGCCAGCAAAACGAGTGCGCCAGGCATGCGAGCCATGCAGGTTAGTCCACCATAATAATTATACAGTACAATGACTGAGTTCAAATCAGGCGCAAGAAGGCAAAATGCCCCGGAGAACAGCCAGTTTGCTCGTTGTGCGCACGGCTACAGCAGCCATGCGCATATGCTGAAGAAGGAAGAAGATCACTAATAAATGGACTTGGGCCTGGAGATCCAGCTCCTGTGCCAACTACTCCAGAAATAAGGATTTCCCAAGCTTTGGTAAGAATCAATCCGTTGGAGCCTGTGAAAGCAGGTCTGGTAACATACGCCACAGGAGGACCGTTTAGGCAGCCTTGAATCAAAGATGAGCGAGGTCCTTGATGCTTTAAGGTACGCCAACCACATTACGGCCATATCAGGGAACTGCTAATAGTTGCATCAGTCGGAATAACCAAAGATCTGAACAACAGACAACGATGTCCTTTGTGCCACCTACCCTTGGTAGCTCCGTAACATCATCCTTACCACTGAGCCAACTCACACCTCTTCCGACGTGGGAAAATGTCCTTGCTATTGCAGAGCTGTATTTGCTATACTGCGACTCGCAGCCTCTCCCTCTTTTTCATAGGGACAGTTTTCTCAGTAGTCTGGGAAATCGTGACCCTGAGGTTATTTACGCCATTCTTGCCTTGAGTGCCCGATTTGCAGAGGATCAATATCGCGATGCCAACGATTTAGCAGCTCGCACTAGCGGTTATACAGAAGTGGCCCGCAGTTTAGTGATGAGACGGGTATCAGAAGGATCCGTTGAGCTATCAACCTTGCAATGTTTATGTCTTCTGAGCTTAGTGGATTTCACAAGTAAGATAGTTGTTGAAACTTGACTTGTCTACGCTAACTGGACTCATAGATGGAAATACTCATCGCTCGAGTATCCACAGCAGCCTAGCTATGAATTTAGCACAGTGTGCGAACCTTGCATCGGAGTCTCATGTTGTTCTCTCGCCTGCGGCGCGAGAAGAGCGTAGGCGATGCTTTTGGAGCATCTGCCTGCTCAAGCGCCTTCATGGAATGGAATTTGACTATATGGATCTCCCAGATGGCAGCTTCCCACCTTACCCAGAGAGTCCTAGCATGCCACAGTCTCGCTCACCAAACGACATGACTGATGGAGCTCGGACTACTGATCTCAAAGATCAAGGCATAGTGGCCTATGTGATCATGCTCAGTGAAGTATTTGTGAAGACTGCTAGATATGTCCGTCGCCACGGGAAGCCAACTAACGTACCACCGTGGTCTTCGCAATCAGAATACTCCAAGATAATCACACTTCAGATGGACCTAGAAACGTGCGTGCCGTATATCCATCGATTCAAGCCCGCTAGCTTATCTGAAAGGACGCTCGAGGATCTCCAAGCAAACCGAAATTATTGGGGCCCATTCTTCCTAAACCAGTGCCTATATCATACCATCTTATGTCTCCTCAACCATCCACTTCTACTTTCCCTGGGTCTCAGAAATTTCCGAAGCACTATCCCCGAGATATTCCTGCAACACACCTCTGACCTAATATCAACACACACCACCTGGATAATACATTTTATCAAGTATTTTGAAGAGAAGTCGTTCATGGTTTCAGATCCGTTCCTGGGATACAGCGCTGCCGTCGTGGCTACGATTGAACTACAGCTGAGTTTTACCGAAAACCCTACAATTCGTCAAGAGAAGCGTGACCGGTTTCTCATATGTGTCAGCTTTGTACAGAAGCTGGGGCAGAAATGGCCGTATATGGCCCGATTGGTATGTCTTATCGTATTGATTATAGATAACAGGCTAAGTGAAGTACTTGTACCGCAGGCCGACAGATTACAACGTTTGGAAGATGCTGTCTCTGCTTCCTACCAGCCCGAATCCGGAGCTCAAAATAAGAGTCTACTAATAGATCTCTCTCGATTCTGGGAGATCCTTGAATACTCTTCAAACAGCGATTCAGATTCTGCCAGACGCATGTTCGGCGACTCTTTGTATTCGGAGCTCCCACATTTACGGGAGAAGTGTCTCAAACGTCTCCCCTGCCCGAACCATTTCGACTCGGTCCCCCACAGGGACTTTCACCATCTCCAATGCCACAGTATGGTCTTCAAACGCCATTCCCTACAGGCCCGCCGTATACCATGGAGCCAGGAAATTCACCGCGGCCTGATGGACTAGATGACGAATTCTCTATTCTTGCTGCAAACTTCTTTTCTCAAGGACAAGAGTTCTTACGAAACTGTGACAACAGGACGGGGATCGGAAACTTTTGATGCTGCGGTGATTTCTCTTTCTTTTTCTTTTTCTTTTTCTTTTCTTTTTTTTTTTTTCAAACTCAGATATTTGTATATTCGAATCATCCTCCTGCGCTCGTCTTGATCAGCCAGGCGGGTAAAATGTATGAGTCTCTTAGAATAGCCACCGGCTTGGCTACATTGATCAGTTATCCTTTCTTTTCATTTATTCATTATATTTGGTCAATATATAGCCTAATTGCTCTCTTATATTATAGCTGACTTGGGAACAGGCAAACAGAAAGCGGCCAAGAGATCAAATACCGCAGGCGGAGGTTGATGTTGATTTAACCACACCGTCACTGACTTTGAGGTTATCCCAAGGCGCAATTCAATTCTTCAGTACTGGTTCGTCCAGTGCAGCCTTGAAATAACTCACAAACTTCCATACGTCGGTGAAGGTGTTGTACAGGGGAGTAGGGGCAACGCGGACAACACCTGGCTCTCTCTTGTCACAAACTATGCCCCCTTCTTGCAATTTCTGGGAGACGTTCTGCAACAAGCCGGGCTTTAGTAGTAGACTGAGTTGAGCCCCTCTTGCCTCGGGGTCTAGTGGCGTGATAATGCGGAAAGGACGTGTTTCATCAGTGGTATCTTTTAGCAAGAGATGCTCCAAGTACGCCGTTAGCATAACGGACTTCTTGCGCAGCTCAGCCATAGATGTCTCGTCAAAAACGGACAACGAGGCGCAGAGGGATGCAAGATCAATAGCCGAAGGATTCGAAAGTTGCCAACCACCTGCTCCGGGGATCGGCTTGAACTCTTTTCGCACATGTTAGCCCTAATCTCCTTGTTGGTCTTCCACTACTTACTATTGTCCATCTTGAACCTCACGCTTCTATCACCACCGTACCACCCAGTCAGACGATGCCTAACTTTGGAGTGTCTTCTCCTTCGCTATAATCAACTCGACCGTGCCTCTCGTGGACGAAAAGGCCTCCCATTCCCCCAGGTCCAGAATTTCCATATTTATACGTGCACCACACTGCAAAGTCGACATTCCAGTCATGTAATTTTACCTCAGCGTTGCCGTACGCATGCGCTAAATCCCACCCAACAGTAAGATTTCGTGACTGTGCATAGGCTGTGATCTTTTGGATGTCGAAAAGCTGCCCAGTGTAGTATTGGATTCCTGGCAAAAGAATAAGAGCTGCACTTTCAGCATGCTCGTCAATGTAAGACAAGATCTTTTCTGTGGAGATCTCATACTCGCCCTCGTCAGGACCAATGAGAACCATGGATTGCTTCGGGTCAAGATCGTGCCAGGCCAGATGAGATTCGATCGCATACTGCTTTGGTATTAATACACGTGGGCTAGAGCAGATGGGTCCGTTGTCAGACATGAAGCTCTTGTACTTACATGATCGCTGGGGAAAGCCTTCCAATCTAACAGAATCTTATGCTTTGTTGGAGTCGGCTTATAGAAGCTTGCAAGCAAGAGATGAAGGTTTGCAGTTAGGGTTCCCATTGCTGCAACCTCATCTGCTTGTGCTCCGACAATCTTACTCATCGATGCTGCGGCTTGTTCGGAAAGCAATTGCCATGATTTCAGAGGAGAGCCCTCGAGCTCTACAAAATGACCAGATACACCAATTGATGACCAAGTGTCCAACTGTGCTTCCAGGTATTTTGCTGTGGCCTTTGGCTGAATACCTAGAGAGTTGCCACAGAAGTAAATGCATGGGTCTGATGAGAGACCTAGTAGGTTGTCAGATGGTTTACCGCGAAAAAGAGATTTGAAGGGCAGCCAATACCTGGCTTCGCAAGCTTCTTGCTATTGACGTTTGCCTTTGAAGGGATAATGAACTTTTCACGGAATGATGCCAACGGGTCTGCTGCGTCAAGCGACGCCGCGTATTCTTTTGACCCTGCATTTTCAGGAAAAACCGGCTTGGACGACTTAACGCTAGACATCGTGTACTGACTTCGGTAACTTTTCAGGATTTTTATTAAGAATGAATTACTTTCTAATTCGGTGGACTACAGGTGTGTCTTTATACGTCATTGCATGCCATCTGCATCTCGTCGTCCTTCGGTTGCTCAGGACGGATGGCTATCCGCTTCCGCCTCACATCCGTGTTGAGAATAGGACCAGTCCGACAATACCCTTCTTCGCCAGGGTACCCATACCATATTACACTCCTGTAATTATTCCTGCTGACATGCATATTGTACTATCTCGGAGGGTGTACCGGCTTTTGATGTTACCTTCATAGATTGATTGAGCCGGAAGCCGCTTCTTGATCCGGCCCTCTTCCGCCATACCCTCGATATCAGGCGATTGTACGTTGATGAACGTGCCTACGAATTAACTGCTCCTGAAATCCCTTGATTGTGCTAAAGGCAATCCTAAGACCAAAGACTTCGTCACAGGCTATTGTTTCTATCATACACTACACCATGCGTTATACTCCTGAGGTTTCACTCGACGAATATGGGGTGTCACTTCAGAATGGCTTCCTGCCTCATTCTTCCCCATTGAAGATGATGGAAAATCCTTATTACTGGCCATGGGAGCATATTGTTAGTGACCTACCGAACCATATCCGATTCCGAACTATAAGACAAGCTGTGGAAGCACTTCCTATTCTTTCGACGTCGAAGCTACAAGGAGAGCCAGAGTGGAGGAGAGCCTATCTTTTGCTTTCCTATCTTACACATGCGTACATCTGGGGTGGTGAAAAACCGAAAGATGTAAGTCTCACCACTACAGAATCACTGGGCACCGTTTTAACTGGACACACAGATTCTGCCTCCTGCTATATCCTCACCATTCCTCGAAGTCTCGAGTCACTTAGAACTCCCTCCTTGTGCCACCTACGCAGCGCTTAATCTATGGAACTACGCAACCTCTGATCCCAACGCAGACCTCACAGACCCTGATCTTCTATCAGTGACGGCCTCATTCACCGGAACCAAAGATGAAGAATGGTTCTTAATGATCTCCGTCGCAATGGAAGCAAAAGGAGCACAACTTATCCCGTTGATGCTCGACACAATCCACGCCGTCAGTATTGATGACACTGAACGTGTGTGTGATTCACTCCTCACACTCAGCGAAGGCCTCAAGGAGCTCCGCAAACTACTAGAACGGATGTACGAAAAGAACCGTCCCTCAGTATTCTACCATCAACTCCGCCCGCTTCTAGCCGGTAGCAAAAACATGGCCTCAGCTGGACTACCCAACGGCGTCTTCTACGACATCGGCTCCGGTCAAGGAAAATGGCATCAATACAGCGGTGGAAGCAATGCACAAAGTTCATTAATTCAGACATTTGACATATTCCTGGGTGTGGAGCATATAGCTACCGGAGGCATGAAGACTAATGATGCAGTCCAGCCAAGAGCTAAGAACGGATTCATGCAGGTATGTATGACCTTTGAACCCCCAATCAGCCCGAATCAGGACTAAACCTGTTCCCCCCTCGCAGGAAATGAGAAACTATATGCCCGGGCCTCACCGACGCTTCCTCGAGATGCTTACCAGTGTCTCAAATGTCCGTGCTTATGCTCTCAGTCACAAGGCCAACTCACCAATCCGAGATGCCTACAACACGGCTGTAATGTCTCTAGGGGTCTTCAGGGACTCACATATTCAGATTGTCACAAGGTACATCATCATGGCGGCGAAGGCGAAACCGCCATCCAATGATTCAGCACAAGTCAATCTGGCCACATCGACGACAACCCATATGCGAGACAAAACCGAGAAGCTTACTGGGGGGATCCATGGTACGGGTGGCACGGATCTAATACCGTTCCTTAAGCAAACTCGAGATACGACCAAAGCTACAGCAAGTTATGATTAAGCGCCTACGTACCTATTGTTGTTTGTTAATTTGATGTGCATATTGAGGAGTCTACGTGCAAAGCTTGAGAATCTCGGGATTAACTCTTTTACTGTCATGGAATATATCTATATTTGTTCTATACTTGAAATCAATCAATTGAAGACCTTGAGCGTTATTGCCTCCGGATATACTCGTTCGTATACACGGGACCCTTATTGCTTGTTTGTGGTTCAGCCCATTTGCATTTGGCCTGTTAACGTACCGCATAAGGTTACGTACACTACGTGGACCCCCGTTACATTTCAAATTGCATCAGACTGCCCGTTTCTGATAAATGTTCCGTGGCATTCCCTGACTTTCAAACTGGCCCACAATTGTCACCCGATGTTGGGGGGTCCATGGTAACCATGGCATGGTTATCTTCGGACGCGGAGACGGAGGCGGAAACGGATGTGCGGAATTCACTTGCACTTAGGGTTGTGGAGTCTCTGAGATTGCTGATAGCGATTAATGCTTACGATTAATCAAAAGTAAGCGGAGGGCAGCGGAGTACCCGTTTACGCACTACTTTCCTTACTACGGTACCATAGATTACATGAGCAATTGAATCGAGTGACTACTGCAACGTCCTCGAAGATAATATTAGACTATTCATTAGGTCATCTAGGCCATTTCTGTACGTAGGTTCAGTGAATGGTGTGGGTTCTCCTGGTTGTTCCTATACAGGAAAATGAAGGATGTAATCCTTCCTGGAGATTATTTGGGTATAAGAAACCCAGTCTGGTACACGGGCAGGGGGGATGTCAAGTTCCCTGGCCGTAGGCGGTCACGCCTGACCGTATCTTCGCCAAACTAGCGACTGGCGAGCGTAGGTGGCGCCCCATTCAACATATGTGCATCGTATTGCTCAGCGAGCGAAGTGTCTCGGAGACGCGGCATGACTCGGAAGAGAAGCAAGTGTCTTTATCACGACATTCAAAGCAGACGCGGAGCTTAACGCTTCTTCGTGTTCGCGGGCACTCCTTCACTCTCGCGCAGTTCAGCTAGCCTCTTCTCACGATCAATAAGTCGCTCCTTTTCCTCCTTGATCATCTGCTCCACCGTCCGGCTAGCCTCCCCCAAGCGATCCAATTCCTTGTTCTCAGTTGCTTTACTATAAGGGTTCCCCGGAGAGTCATTCGGAGGGATCTCCGCCGTTCTGACATTCCGCTGCCCGCTTTGCTTAGTATTCTTTCCCCCCTTTCCTTTCTGCGGTTGCGCCGACGCAGCACCCCCGGTAAGCAGATCATGGAATTGCTCCACGGGTTCGTTGAAGACGATCTCCTCATAGTTCTGGCTGGTAACTTGGTCTCGTCGCTCCTTCATGGCTTCCGCATCTGGCCCGTACGGATGCAATTTAAGACTGTGCCAGAGAGTCTGAGGCTTCTCCATCGACTCAGGTACGAAGTAGAGTTTGATCTGGATCTCGAATTCACCCCATCCTGTTTCCGTTACCTCGAACGGGGGCTGTTCGATGGTACGGATGTTCTGGGCGTATGTCTCGTGCAGCTTGAATTGAACCTTCTTCAGCCAGTAGGAGATGTCTTCATCGTTGACGCCTTTCACGTAGACGCGCCACTGATGCGTGTGGTCGGCGGGGGCATTGGCGGGTTTCTTGGCTGGATCGAAGGGTTGGGCTTCGCTGCCGAATACTAGGATTGGTTAGAGTGCGTCCCATCGATTGAAGGTCGTATCGGTTGGATGTAGTTGGCGGTCAGGGAAACATACCAAAGGGCCTGAAGATAGAGACGCCCTATAGATGTGGTCGTTAGCTTGTAGTTTCCTCTTTATGAGGAAATTCGTTACTTACCCTCACGCGCTTCGTGGCTGTGGCGGAAGGCATAGCAGAAGTTGATTAGTGAAATGCGATCGCGCAGAAGAATGACCCAGTGTACCGGTGAAAACAAGAAATAAGACTGACGAAGCTTAGAGGTGCGCTAGAGTGTCTAGATCTTATCTAGTCTTGTCGCGAAATCACCGCGGGAATTGCCAGCGGCACGTGATAGCGCGGAGGGAAGCATGACGATGGGGTGTCGTCGGAAGCGGTGCTTCCAGAGCTTGGAAGCTCCGAAGATCAGACCAGATGCGCCCGCAATGATCCACCGGACATATTTCTGATTTACGCTGGATTTTCTTGTCGTTTCAATTCCTAGCGTTAAAAAGACAGAGAAGAACGCGAAAAATGGCTACGAAAAGGGTAGTGGTTGCGGGCGGAAACGGTTTTCTAGGTTGGTATACTTTTCTACTGCAGTGTCGGCTAAGACTTGTAGATCACTGACCGTTTTCTTTTCCCTCTTCATTTACAGGCTCGAGAATATGCAGGTCTGCGGTAGCCAGAGGCTGGTCGGTAACATCTCTCAGGTACGAGTTCTTCCGATAACACCGAATCTGACTGTCCGTCGAAATTCATACTTTTTGTCGCAGCCGGTCCGGAGAACCACGATGGGATGCGATTTCGAGTTCGCCCGAACGCCCTAGTTGGGCAGGCTCTGTGGAATGGGCTAGAGCAGATATGCTGAAACCGGAGACCTACAAGCCTTTCTTGAGCGGTGCTACCGCTGTTGTACACACCATGGGTATTCTCCTAGAGGCCGACTACAAAGGCGTGGTGCAAGGAAGGGAACCCATCATTAGTGGCCTACAAAGGGCCTTCAGCTCCTCGAAACTGGGCAGCCAAAATCCCCTACAAAGGCGGGAAGGCGAGCCATTGAATGCAAAGGAAAGAGATGGACAATTGACTTATGAGCTCATGAACAGAGATTCTGGTTTGTATATGCTATACAGTATTTTGAAGACAGAATGCTGACCGGGTGGAACACAGCGATTGCCCTAGCCCAAGAGACCTCCAACGAGCATGTCCCAACTTTTGTATTCATTTCCGCCGCAGCGGGAGCGCCTGTTCTTCCGAGCAGGTATATCACAACCAAACGAGAAGCTGAAACAACCATATCAACGAGAATACCGGAATTGCGGAGTATCTTCATCCGAGCCCCATTTATGTACGACTCAAGCAGAAAATTTACATTGCCAATAGCACTTGGAGGCTTCATCGGGTCTCAGTTCAATGAGCTCTTGGGCAATAGACTCGACTTTCTTGGCACAATGGTAACCAAACCTTTTCAGGTGGATATGGTAGGTGAGGCCGTGGTTGAGGCGATGGAGGATGAGGCCGTGCGTGGTGCTGTAGGAACGAAGAAAATCGAAGCTCTGGCCACGAGTGCTTGGAGAAAAAGCATGCTATGAGTTCAACTCTGGGGGAAAAAGGTAACACCAGTTCCTGGTCACTTCTCCAGGCTGTCAGGTAGTAGCCTGAGTGTTTGTCCAATTTAAGATCGCAGGCCTGATAGTCCTAAACATGACTGGACGCTAATCGGCAAACCCTGCGCTGTATTATAGATATAGTTTCATGTATTCTATCAGATCATGGTACCACGTTCGAAGCTGTCACGAATTTCCGTAGTGTACTAATTGACGATTAGCCAACGATCCTGGTCGACCGGCGTTTCGGTTATAAACATACCTTGTTATAGAAGCGCGCCAGCTTCTGGTTGAATTGCTTGTTCTTTTCGTTGATGTAGGTGACATCGGCATCCTCTTCACCACGGCGTTCTCTCCGTTTCTTGAGCCGAACTTCTTCTGCTTTTCTGAGGTCTCCCACCAATTTATCGACAGCGGCTCGATCGGGCTTATTCTCAGTGAAGCCTACTGTATCGGCAGTGGAATAGAAAGAGCCATTCTTATCGACGGCGATCATTTCACCATCATTGGTTTCCACGATTTCCAAGTCGCCATTAGCAGCAGCCCTCTCAATAGCTGCTAACTTCTCTCGCTCGTAAGCTTCTAAGTCGGGCTGTATCTCGCGCAGTTGTCTCTTATAGACTTTGCGTGCATCTTGCGTATAGTCCTGGAATGCGACATCATCCCGATGGCGTTGTTTTTTCTCCATACGCTTATCCCACTTCTCGGATTCGTCGACCGTCCAATCCCAGGCGCGTTTCCGTTCAAAATCTTCACCGGCGGCTTCCGTATCGGCTTTAAGTAAGTTGTGCGACGCAAACGCATGTTTACGAGACAATGACGAAAGCAGCGATGGATCGGTTGCTAGACGTTGTGTCTCGGCTGCTGTTTCCTTCAAGTTGCGTTCTGTCGCAGATTTCTGTACTCAAGTGAGCTTGGAACGGACCATATGAGAAAGTTTAGGCAGCAAAGCAGAGGAAGAAAAAAAAAAGAAACATACTGCACGAGCTTGAAGGGCCTTGAATCTTTCCTGTCTCTGGCGCGCCTTTGCGGCCGTGTCGTCTCCTTTTACGGGGTCCGCTGCCGTCGATGAACTGCCTGAAGCATTTGCGTCTTCGGACTCTTTTTCACTAGCATTGCAATCTTTGGCGACATTATTCTGTTCCTTAGCTGTGACAGAAACGGGCTCATTGTCGTCAGAAACCTTTGACGCAGGTTGCTGAGTGCTGCGCTCGGTAGGCATGATGGTATAACACCAGTGCAGCGATCAGTGTCGGATGGTGCAAGCGGCGGTAGATTATTCGAAGTCCCTCAGTTTCAAGTTGACGTCTGGCTGTAGATAATCGGAGATAAGATGGGAGATTGAAGAACAGCAGAAGCGCGAGATCACAACCTCAAGGTTACGATTGCTTTTCCCACCGCCCAATTCACCGCCCGTGCTCTGACCATGTGCTTTTACTATAATGATGATGTTCTATGTACATACAACGCGTGCAACTCTATAGGTGGCCGTTGGACATTGGATGTAACCAATGTCCAAACGCTTAGATTATCGCTTGTGGCTAGGGCCAAGGCGACAACTGCGTTCCCAACTCTCTCTGTCGCAATCATCTCTCCGACATGCCTCGGGCGATGCCAAACGGGGTGCTCTAGAGTCACTCACCAAACCCACACCATCCCAGCTATTACGATTTGCCTTGACAGGGAGTACACAACCGGTTCATAATGGAGTACTTCCGAAAACAATCCAGGACAAACATCTAGAGGAACTCTTTTCAGAGGAATGGCCTTTGAGCACGTCACCTCCTCCACCTCTGTGGAGCACTCTCCAACAAAGAACCGCTGCTCCCTGTAAGACAGAGGTGTTACGAGGTATGAAAAAAGATATTCGGGATCTTAACCACCTACGCTCATTGATTGAAAGAAATGTCAATGATCCACTCGGTGGGGTGCTTTTGCAAACAGGGCATTGTAGGTTCCTCGCGCAGGCATTAGAACGCTGCCAGCGGTCTAATTCTTACGGAGAAATACTCTCAACCATTAATGGGATCCTCACGAGGCTAGAGAAACTAAGAGCCCCCGTATCGCCTTCACTATTTGTCATAGGGATGTACTATTCCTGTCTTGCCTTCTCAGCATCAGCTCTGAAACGGCACCTCGAAGGCTATATTTCCCTTGGTCTCCCGCGGCTGGATTTAGAGTCGTGCGCTCCCCTTGTGGACGCTCTTCTCGTTTCCCTCAAACTTTTGCCATTCCAGGAGCCAGGTTATAATACCAATGAGATGCGGAGTATAGTCACGGGAGAAAGTGCTGGTGGGGGCTTTTCAGAACACAGTTTGCACAGTATAATGTGCTGGGCCGACCATCACGATTCAACCCAATCCGCTGGGCCGTATTTGTCGTTGCTCGCAAGATTACGGAGCGACAGAACATTACAAGACATATGGGACCGGACGACGAAAAGACTAGGTCCTGATTCACCTCACACTTTCCAGTCGGCTTATGGCTGTGTGGAAGCTCTTGTCGAAGTTGGAAGCCATAGAAAAGCTGTAACCTATCTCAGACAGATATCAAAATGCGCCAATGGTAATCTACCAGGTCTATCTAACTTCAAGGGTTTAAGAGGTCTCCTCGCAGCCGAACGAGTGGCCCATGCAATTCCACAGCTTGCGGGGAAGGAGTATCCTAGCATTCTTGAAGCGCAACTAGAAGATATGGAGAAGAGACTCGGAGTTACTTGGAATAGACGGAAATCGGTCCATACGAGCATCTCCAACCCGCTCTACGTCAGTTCTGAACAACCGCTCCTGACAATCGATGGCGACAGTGCAGGGTATGATAGCAACATGCGCCTAATCGCAGAGATTGAAGCTCTCGGATGTTCAAAATCGATGCTGGAGCTAGGCAGGATCGCTAACCTGCTGGACGAATTTGAAGGGGATCAGATTCGCGTCCCCATACCGTATAAGGATGCTGCACCTTATGACTTCGCTTGGTTTCCACAGCGGTCCCCGATTGAATTACCAAACAACACTTTGCCCGTAGGAATTGACCAGTTTAGTGTGCGGCCGTCCTCGGCTTTGGGATTACTTCGTGTCAGACCACACAGCCATGGGATATCCCTAGCGTCTGAATGTTGCCTACATCTGATGCAGCTTGGCTACCTGGTCGCGAGGCCCAAATCGGCCCAAACTTGGGAAGAGACAGGCCATATCGTGACTTGGGACCGTGCCTTTGGTCGATTCGTTGCCGTTTTTGTTGGGAAAAGCTGTGGAGCTCTAGATGCTGAGAAACAGTGGATCGTCCCAAACCCATTGTTTGGCCTCGATGCAGTTATGAGGGTCTCTCCTGGAAATGATCTACCCGAACAGAAGGATACCAATCCTCCATTCAGACATTCTTACCCAGTGTACTATGTGGACGCAGACCCAGGACCAGATCTCGTATAAACAACGAGCTGATCCCACTATTTGACAATACCCTAGGATATGAGAAACGCACAGGCCTCAAATACAGCCCCCATAGACCGTCTAAGACGTGGAAACTAATGGACTAGTGAACCCAATCTCAGCCAGCCAGTAAGTGGCGATCTAGATCTCCTGCGGCATTTGCGGGTGCAGTTAGTATTGTGGCTGGGTAACCGCACCGAGCGCCGTGGAAATATCATTACTTTTCTACTCGCTCAGAGGTCTACAAATGAATATGGCATGCGAGCTCCTGCGCCGGACAATCTCGGTCCATTTGTTTACTATTGGCCTTAGCGACGCCTCCTTTCTACACTTTTTCTTTTTCTTTTCCGTAATGATACCCCGGGCTTTCTGATGTCGACAGGTGGATCGACTCTATTCTCTCGTATATACCGCCAGAAAAGAACATGATCACATGCCCAGGTGGTACTGTGGAATGATGTCATTTTATCACTGTATCAGTGGTATCCATCAGATGAGCTGCGTGCGAGCACGGTCAGCTATGCCGGAGGTTAACACGCAGCAGACGACATCTGGTTTTGAATGTATAATAGCATTCTTGAAGCGGACTCTCCCTTCAATGTACCCATTTGGAACGCAGCAATACCAAGATGGCCTTTTGGGGTAACTTGCTAAATCCGGGCGGGCTTGTAATGGAGAGCACGGTTGATCTACTCCACATAAGTCACTTTTATGTAATGTAAGTATATACTGGGATCTGTTCCTTTGATTCTGAGTGGTGCTAGACCGTGACCGAGTCCAAAGTGCGGTCAAGGAAGGTTAGATTTCAATGTCTTCGAGATTTCTTCCCTAAATCCTAATTGAGTGGAAATTGCCCAGCAGGAAGGAAAGGGCGGAGAAGTCCGAGCTCACATACATATGTCAGCCATACATATAGACTATACATTATCAGTAGGCCGGCGACCTCATACATGCTGTATCACCCTTGCTTCGTCCTTTAAATCCCGAGTGAGCATAGACCTCTGCAAGAACAGGGGGCCCCCACAGCGTTTTGTTGCCCTGTGCTCTGCAGGTGGCGGACAAAGTGGGATTTATAGACTAATGAAGGACTTTACTACCCATGCCTGTGGGTCGGTACGCATGCTAAAGCACCTGAAAACCTGGAAATCAATAGATTTGGTCCTGCAGACCTAAACGTGACGGGACACTCCCGACAAGGAACGGGAGGCTGTATAGCACCTTGGCGGTCCAGTTGCTACATATTGGGCCACGCCCAGGATGTTCTGAGCCTGAAGGTGAATTATGAAATGGCTGAAACCTTTTCGTACCCGATGTATTTACGTGCCTTCTGAACAGGGAATCGGGCACCTCCTTGATGCAGATACAGAACGCCGTCGCCGTGGACTTGCACTCCAGTACATGACCTATGACGTCCATTTGTCCTTAGCCATACCGTCATACCCTGGCACAGCCTTGAGTGACATTGGAGTAAAAGATGGAAAAGGGATGAGTGCACGGAGTCTTCCCCGATCGTCGCGTCATTTTCTCGACACTATTGGTCCCTGGGCTTCCCTGCCTTCACCTAGTGAAAGGCTAACGCGCTCTGCATCGGGGAGCCCCTTCTTATTTGTCTCTTGGTAGGCTAGACAGAATCAGGGCTCCATTACTCGTGCTGGAAGGAGTAAATCCATGCGAAGGAATCTTAGTGCAGCAGATAGTGACTTTGTTTCTTGCAGAGCTTGCTTAAAGGAGAGCACGCAAGGTGTACTATGTACTAGGTATGTACATACAATACAGGATGCGAAGGACTAGAGAACTGGTAGTACTAGCCTGGGAGATCGGCTTGGAAAGTCAGTACTGGAGAGAAGACACCAACGAGCACTATAGTTCAAGGCAATCAGAGGCCCTGTCCCATACAATGGTAGATAAGTCGCTGTGAAAGGGCTAACCCTTACCACCCGTGATCATAAATCCCGACATTCTGGTTCAAGTCACTTGACCACCCAGTGTCTCATTCGGATTCCCTCTTCCTTTGCCTCTGTTTCTACTTACTGATCTACTAGTTTAGTAACCAAGTGGACGCGTCGCCTTGCCGCCATCCCCAACTCTTTTCGGCTTTTGCGATTGGATGGCATCCTTAGCCTGCTTTTTTGGGCTCGGCCCGGTGGGGATGGCTTCATTCTCGTCTGTTAGTCGTCCGTTGGATTCCAACGTTGAGAACGAGACATTTGCCTATTGGTTGCATCCCCACCTCTCCTCGATACTATTTTCAAAACTGTTGACCATGTAAGTAAGCTGATTTATACCTGGTCGTGAAAGCAAGACCTGTCTAACGGTATAAGACGACTACAACACGCCGCCATTCTATGGAGCGGACATTGATGCATATAACGATGCGTTCCTGGCTTGTAGGGACATGGTTTTGCAATTTATAAAGGCTCAATTGTGATTCATCAACAACGTTAGTACGCGCAGGCTGAAGCTATGCTTCTCCGGTCGATCCACTAGTCGTTCTGGGATATCGGTTGCGAAATAGGACCGACGCTATCTTAGTCTGCAGGGATAGGAGGCGTCACACAGACATACGCCCCATCAGTATTCCAGGAATTAAAATATGGCTTGCTGAACATTTTCCTTGCAAGCTATGATGAGTTTACTTTCGCTCGCATCCCACACTCCCACGATCCAATGCCTCTGTGAGAATCAGAAGTTTGGTCGAAAGTATGACACATAACTCGCTATCGCCGGCAAGGCAACCTCACATGCAGTAACTTTCTGGCTAGAAAGGAACGGTTGCAATGCTAATGCACAAGTAGCGCCCCCGTTTTGACCAAGGGCACAGGCAGCCTACACCCACAGGGACTTCTGTACGGAGGAGCCCATAGAGAAACCTCAGCTGAGAACGCATGGCAATGTGGCGGTGACCGCTTTTATGGTCCCCACATCATAAGGATGTTAGCCACAGCGACTAGACCAGGGAAGTGGTCAGATCAGACCACTAAGGAATGAGCAGTGGATTATCGACCATCTTTGCCAAGCCTAAGTATACTGGGGGAGTTTTCCCCCCTACTGGGTAGGTGTTTGCTACCTGGGTGATTATCGCGGAGAATTATATACGCAACCTGAGTAAGTTTTAGTTTACTAACAAAAATGGCCGTCGGCTATTCAGTATTTGTTCATGCCTCGGGCAGGTCCTTGATGTGGGTTGATTTTCAAACCTTGCACTATGTTGAGCTGGGGGAAATAACCATTACCCTGCAAGTTGGGTGACCCAGATGTACCAGGTAATGGGAAGAAGGGTTGTTGTAGTAAATACTTGACAGGTCCTCCGTACACCTGTCCACATTGCGGTCAACAACCCTGCACATCAGTGGACATCGCGGGATCCGCCGTGTTGTCTATGTATTCATATTTTGATTGGACGACTGACATGCCGAATGCTCGGAGAGCCACTGTGGATTCCCAAACTCAACACAGTTGAAGTTTGAACCCTCGGCAAGATTAGGGAGTTCTCTATGAGTGGAAGGCAGAGTCTCTATCTATCGATCGACCTGATTATCTGCTACTTCTTCACCAAGACTGCGGGTCTGATGCTTAGATCCCCACAAATCTGTATATATACTGTTCAAAGATCCAGGTCATTGCACGGTCTGAACGAGCTGCAGTCGCTAGCGGGGCAGCGATCCTGGTAGGTGATTCTCGTAACCATAGAATTGGGTCATTCCATCATGATCGAGATACTTCGGGTCAAGTGGAGCACTTGAGCATATGGCTTCTGTTGGCGTTCGTCGCGATTGATCTACGCCCGTCGCCAGGTCGCCAGATAATTTGAATGGGGATTACTACGCCTGCACTTTCAGCCCAGATTGGATACACTTAATTTCATGATCGCCTGTGCATTTGTGTCCCGGCTCGTTCGGCATCGGCGACAACGTCTTCGTTATCTGAGAACATACAATCCCCAAAGACAAAAAAGACAAAAAAAAAAAAAAAAGATGGGGTGCTGAGAGAGGATGGGCCAGCACAACACTCTACCCTCCTTTGAACCAGGATATTGGACTTATTGCAGACCAAGAATCCCAGACCATGATTGGTCATGTCACAGTCTGTCGGCGTGCTCCTAACTGGGGACAGTCAAATAATGCCTTCTCAACCAGTACATGATCGCCCTGGCCCCGAATTTGGAATCCTATTTACCCACCCACCAACACGGCTCTTGAGTAGTAGCGTCATTGCAAGGGACTAGCGCCGAGAGATGGACATCAAATGTCTCTACTGACTTATATAGTGTCTAAACTGACCGCACTGAGACTTAAAACCATCTGTCATTGGCCCACTTTGTGCTGCTTCATCATTTGCCGACGATTACACCTCTATCGTTATTTTCTTCCATAAAAGCTTCAATTTCTGATAGCGAAGGAGAACTGGGGCCAGAGGGGACCTGTATCGCTGTTCTTATTGTTCCTCTTTTTTTCGCTTTCATTTTATTTATCAACGAACCGGGGGAATTATTTCGGGGATATTCTTAACAGAATCCTGTCAGGCACGCAACGCCACTGCAGGTCAGATTCGCCCGTCAATGCCACACACATACACAGTGGGCACGCACACGTCCTCACAAAAGCATCGCCCAGTCTGACTCTCCATATCGACTATTTCCTCTGCACGGTTACCGATTGGTATAGAATCAGTAAGGGTGGAATATTCTCGGTCCCCAAGGTTGGTACGACCGTTGCGAGTCTTCTGTTCTGTTTTTTTCCAGGACTGAATTGGTCATCAGACGCTCTGTTGCACACACTTAAATTTTTTTGTACATTGGTATTGTCATTCCTAGTGTGAGTTGTACCGACTTTCATCCATTCTGTTTGGACGGTGCTTCGCCCTTTCCTTTTTCCTGGGTTATTTCTTTTTCTTCGGCGTGCCCCTCGTGCAGCTGCCTTGTTGTTCTGCCTTGCAAATTAATTTGGGCTAACTGATGCATGTTACTCGAATCAGCGTTCTTGATAGACTCAAGTTGTCGGCCCCCGGTGGGTAGTCATCCTCACCTCTTTGTTCTTTTGGGACGGAGTTCAGCCCATCGTGTTGTCGGTCCCAAGTCGCAGCTGTGTGTTTGCTGGATCTATGTATATAGCATCTGGCCGTCCCGTTTTGTTTCATCGTCAATCCCTCATCAATTGTCTATGTAAAGACCGGCATTATATCGTCTCTTAGAACGCTTACGATAACAAGGTCGCCATCTTATCTGCTATTCTAACTGATGCCCGCCTTGCAGAAATCGGGAATTAGCCGCCCGACGTTTGCCAATACCAGACGCAAAGTGGAAGGAGAGTATAGGTGATAACCTACCCAACCTTGTATACGCCTGCATAGATGTCGAATACGCCATTACCACAATGGACGCACTCCCTTCCCGACACCCGGTACCCCGATACGGGCACCCGTGTCGGTGACGGTGCAGGAAGAGGATTAGCAGCAACAATTCCAAATCCCGCATATTCGACTCCAGAACCCCCGCGGTTTCTATTTCCAGACAGTCAAGGCTATGATCCTACTGCTAGTACTTCGACTCATCCTAGGTTTGTATTTGAAGGCGCAAGGCGAGATAGTGTGGAGCATCGATATAGTGTCTCCTCAACTGCGAGTGGGCCTCTTGCTCCGTACGCAGTGCAGCGTTTGAGCATCTCAAAAAGTGTTGACTACTATGGGCCGTCAAGTTCCTATCATGAAACATCAAGTCAAGGCCGTGGCTCCATAGGCTCCACGGGGCGGACAAACGACATGGAATCTCTGTAACTCTCCCTTTTCTTAGCCTGCGACTTTCGCTCCTGTTCTTGCATTTGGATCGGTCTGGGCTTGCTCTAGAAGCTAGAAATTTGGTTTCGGAGGGCCTTATGATGCATTCTGTACGATGTTCTAACTCGACCTGATCCGATATAGTTGTTCCTCCACGACGTTTCCAAGCCCCGTCCACTCTGATAAAAGCTCGGCAATGTTCAACACCAACCCTACGCCAAAGTATTCATTGCAGCAACCGCCGCGTCAGACAACGTCCGGCGTACCATTGGGCTTTGAGAACCTGCTTCACCATTCGCCATCACCACCCCCGCGGCGGCCTTCCACAGCTTCCCGCTATCATTTACACATTCGACAGCAACCAATGGCGGCAAGAGCTTGCGGCTTTGGTGATAGAGATCGGCGGCCTGTTGATCCACCACCCATCATCCAATTGCTTCTAACCGACTTCGACCCCGTATCAGATCAAGATAAGGATATCTTGCAAGATCCGAGATTTGCCGTTGGTTGTCTTCTATTCCCTGCGGCGACACCCCCCCAGCAAGGCCCACCAGATAGGGAGAGAGGGGGTACCATCCGTGAAAGTCGCCTTGGATCAACTGCGAGCCCAGGTCAATCAACGCCTTTGCTTTCCGGAAAGGCGTTCATTTCTCCCTTCTATGTTGATGCAGACCCGGACCCTGCGACGGCACCTGCCCACCCGACTAGTGAGGATTACGTGACGCAGAGGACCTCTACAGGACCGGTACGAATGAAACAACCGGCGGCATTTTTCATATTCTCAGACCTTTCCATCCACGCAGCTGGGGAGTATCGGCTACAATTTCGGCTCATGAACTGGGGCCACGTGGAGGATACCGGTCAGCCTATGCCTATCCTCGCGGAGGCGTGGTCGGAGCCATTCCGCGTTTTCCCAGCTAAGGACTTCCCCGGGATGCAAGACTCATCGCCGCTCGCGGAGGGACTCAAGGAGCTCGGGTTTACCGAACTAAAAACAAGGGGCAAGGGCAAGGGCAAGGGAAGGAAGCGTTGACGTTATCAAGGGTCATTTCATGAGTGAACAGTACGTCTATGGGCCAATTTCCCAGCGTTGCGATATCTCAGAACACCGCCACTCCGGTAGTATGCCTGTTTCTAAGATAATCAACTTTACGATTTTAATGAAGCCTTACGAAAAAAACGCCTTTCGAAGCAGATGAACTTGATTACGACTCCACACTGTATGAATGACCCGTTGTAGTGCTAAAATACAAACCTACAGCAGACCTGAGACCAAGAACCCTACGCATGTATCCAGGTCCATCTTTGGGGGAGCAAGTTCATGCACTTGTAGTGTACTTTGTATAGCAATAAACGTCCCTCGAGGAGATATTGCACCCGTATTCCTCCTATTTCTGGCGCAGACTAATAAATAGCTGGCCAGCTTGGTTTCAAACATTTTGTGATATAATACAATCATAGCAAATGACCAAGTGTCTATACCCAAATGGCCATCGGGCATAGCGAATAGATATTGTTGTACAGCGTATAGCACACGGGTATCAACCAAACACAATAAACAAACCACCACCCTTCAGCGGTCCATCCAGATAGAGACAGCTCTATCAAAGATCGAGCAGCTGAAGCGGCACCTCGGGCCGGAACGTCTCATCCCGCCAGACCTTCAGAAGCTCATCCTGAGACGTCGGCATAAACTCCTTCGCATCGGCAGTCCGCGAGGACCAGAAGAGCTCCCACGCCGCTTCATAATTCCCATCCTCACGCTCAATGATAGCGAGCAGCAACGCGGCCCTCGAGTTCCCATGCTTCACCGCCAGCTCGTACCAATCCATCGCCAACTTCCGATACTCAACATGCGACTTGACGTCCGCAGAAAGGAACCAGAAGAACCTACCCAGCGCGCCGGGCTTCCTCTCCTCCACCGGCTTGGCCGGATCAACCGTCCTCGACGCTCTCGGTATCGCCTTCGCGTTCTCCCCCTCCGACACCTTCACCCCCCGCCGAGGAAACCACCCCTTCGACGTGAGATAGTAGAAATTCGCCAGCTTCAGACAAGCCATCGCATCCCCCGAGCTCGCCGCCTTGCTCATCCCCTCCTCATACCCCTCCAGATCCATCTCGCGCATCAACAAACTCGCATAATCCTGCAACGCCCGCGGATCCTCAAACTCCAGCGCCGCGCTCCGCATCACCTCATCCGCCCCCATCGCATCCCCCGTCCGCTCCTTCAACCACGCATACACCCGCCACGGCGTCTCCATAACCTCCGAGATCAAGTACGACTGCTCCGCCCCGCGCGGCGCGCTCTTGGCCGGCTGAATCCGCGCCAGCACCGCCTCCATCAGCTCCAGCGCCTGGGTATACTTCCCCCGACGGCCCTGCACCTGCGCCAGCAGCTGCAGCGCGCGGGGATCGTTGCTCGTGCGGCCGAGTTCCTCCAGCCGATCGATAACAGCCGTCTGCCGCACCTCCGTGCCCCGTCGTTCTGTGATGGTGAGATACCGCGCCGTCTGGTATAGCACGGGCACGCGCGCCCCGGCCAGACTGCACGCCGCCAGCACCCATTCCTTGAATCCCATGTCGCTTGTCCCGATGTGGTAGCCTATCCTAAAGACCTCATCTACATCTGCATTTCCCCCCCGGTGTAACATGTTAGCTCCAATCCCTCTCTAGATCCTTTATACAACCATAAGAGTGAAAGTAACAATCTCACCATCCGAGATCCGTAACACAAGCTGCCCCGCCGGCGGATGCATATACGCCGTATTAAACAGCTCCCTCGCGATGCGCACGAACGTAGCATGGTCGACCGTGACGCCGCCATATCGCCGCGCTTCCTGGTGCAGGGTCTGCGACGCGAAATCGAGGAACCGGAGCCGCTGCGCCAAGTCGCCCTGTGCTGGGGTCTTGAGGAGCCCGTCTTCGGTGTAGGTGTTTGTTGCTCGTGGCTGTTGCGGCCGTTTCTGGGCTGCTTCGGCGCGGCGCACCGAGGGGGAGCGCGCGGCGGAGGGTTGGGGGGTGCTGTGGAATTGCCGTTGGCTGAGTGGTGTTCTTGTGGGTTGAGTTTGGGGGGTATGTTGGTTATATTGGGTATGGTGGTGGTAGGGGAGGCGAGGGAGGAGGCGTGGCATTTTCGGAGGGGTCTTGTGAGGGACATTTTTGGGGAGTTGTTTGGGGAGGAGGTTGAGGTGGTTGTTTGTTGGAGGTTTGGGGCGGAGAGATTTGTGTCTTGGTGGAGCGGAGCTGGGTGCTTGACTGCACTGCACACTTTGGCTGGATGTGCAACTGGAGTGGATACTGTATTGGATTTAGATATGGATATGGATCTATTTTATTCATTTGGAAGTGATCTTGATTCGCCTGCAATTCGACCTCTACGCATCTTCTATCAACTAAAGCTAAGAAACCATGATTAACTTCATAATACTAAAACAGCATATCTATCGTCCATCCGCCTGGAAAAGCGCAATAGACAGCAGAAGAGTTGAACAGACACAGATCGTTCGTCCATCAGGGATCCAAATTGTCCAAATCAAGAGATGATAATGTACATTTGCCGCCGTTTTCCCGCTTTCCGGTTATATCAGAAACAGTTCCAAGAGATATACGACGGAGAAAAGAAAACACTAAAAACACAGTAATAAGTGGTGAGAGACAAAACTCCAGCTCGATGATGCAGTCCCAATCACAACGTCCCGGCCGTCCTGATCCCCGTCGCCCCGTTCGCCAGAGCCAGGGAAAGAGGGCAAGTTCAACCAGGTATAAATCCAATTCATCGACATTATTAATCCCCCATTTTTTACTCCATGATGGCCTTGGCACCGACGGCCTTGAGCGTCTCGATGATCTTTCGGCGTCCTCCTTGGGCACGGACTCCTTCAGGACCTTGGGCACGGATTCGACGAACTTCTTGCTGTCAACCAGGGACAGGCCGAGGAGAGACTTGATCTCCTTGATGACCTTGGCCTTGGAGGCGGCGTCGATGGACTCGAGTTTCAGGTTGAAGAGGGTCTTCTCCTGGGCGGCAGGAGCAGCCTCTTCCTCCTCAGCGGGAGCGGCGGCGGGAGCAGCACCGCCGGCCATGGCGAAACCGCCAACGGGGAGGTCGGGGATGTTGAGGCGGGACTGCAGTGGAAACAGTGACATCAGCATGGTATATTCAAATCAATTGATCCTATTAAGGTGTCCCATCTGCCCCGTGGAGGTGCACGCGAGCAAAAACATTGCACCACATCGGTTTGCGATATGCGGAAAGAAACAAACAATGAAACGAACCTTGAGGGTGGCCACGAGGTCGGCGGTCTCCAGAAGCGTCAATGTGCTGATCTGGTCAACAATCTGGCTAATCTTAGGGTTGACAGGGGCAGCAGCCTCCGCCTCGGTGGACTGCCATCTCCGTGTCCGCTGAGACAGATATGTCGAGGAAGAGAGGCGCAACGAAGCGGCGGATGGGCGGACGATCTGCCTGCAGCAGCGGGCGGCGACCTGCGAAGAAATGGACATGATGGCTGTGAAAGGATGTGACCGGGGAGAAGACGGACGAGCGTAGAGGAGATGGAGAGAATCAGGCGCTGCTCAATCAAACCGAACCAGAGAGCTATCCGAAAGTCTTGAACTGAAAAAGAAAGTCAAGTTTCGGTCCGGAAAATCCAGGTCTCGGTCACGTGAGTCGTCCTCCGATGCGCCGGAACGCTTCAGCAGTCAACATCAGCCACAACAGCTTCTGGTCAACACGTTGCAAGTACACTGGCAGTAACATAATTACAATTCGTACTACGGATGATAGGAATAATATAGTCAAACGTGAATTATACATAGTAGCCAGTATTACCTCTACTCACAACACGCTTATGTCAAATCCTTGATCAATGGACTTTTCATGATATCGTATCTATCACATTCCTATTTTAACCCCCAATTAAATATGTAATGCTTCATGTTTAATCCTCATCCCAGTTGGCGTTGGGGCCTGGCGGCTTGGGACCACCGGCTTGACGGGCAACGATGATCTGGTCGACACTGAGGACTGTCCGCGCGGACTCACTGGCCAGGCGAATAGCCCAGCTCTTGGAAGCCAACAGGTCGAGAATACCCTCCTCAACGGTGTCCAGAGTACCGGCCGAGGTCGACGATTCCAGATCAACACCGGTGGTCCAGTATGGCTCCTCTTCCTCAGAGCTACCCGACTCCTCTTCTGACGAAGCTTCGGCACCAGTGCTGGTGCGGTGGTGGGCTGTGTACAGGCGAGAAAGAACCTCGGTGGCATCGAGACCAGCAGACTCCGCAAGGGTGCGGGGGATGACCTCGAAAGCCTCGGCGTACTTACGAATGGCATGCTGAGGCAATCCTGGGGTCCGATCGGCGAATGCAGAAATCTTCTCCACGAGCTGGATTTCAGTAGCGCCTGCGCCGGGAACCAGACGGGGGTCCTTGGTGATGGCCTTGACCGCGTTCACACCATCGTCGATGGCGCGCTCGACATCGTCCAAGTGGTTTTGTGTCGCTCCACGCAAAACGATGGTAGCTGTGCGGGTCACGGCGTTGGCCTCCTCTTGACGGAAGACGGTCACACGGTCACCGCCGATTTCGGTGGTCTCAACGACATCAATGCTACCCATTTCGTCGGGCATAGGGGCTCCCAGACGGGCAAGAGGGGTAGCGCCGACGACACGGCAAAGTCTGCGGAGTTCGAACTTGGAGAGGATCTTGATCACGAGGATGTTGAAGCGGTTGAGGTAGTGCATGGCCAGGTCACCAACGGAGGAACCGGCCACAACGACACGAACACCGGAGTCATAGAGTTCCTTGATGGCGGTCTCGAGGCGTTCCTCCTCACCCTTGGTGAAGTTGAGCATCTCATCCGCGCTCTTCAACAGCACAGTGCCCTTGGTTTCGGTTTGAGAGATGTCGATGGGGCAGCTGAACACGCCGACCTTGGCCTTGGAAGCCTTCTTGATGGTGCCATCGGGTTCCCTGCCAAGGACCATTCCCTTCACCACACGAGACTGTTCCAAGCTACCACCCATGATCTTCACCACACGAACGTTGTCGACGTTGAAGTTAACGGGGTTCTTAGGCAGGACGGCGAGCACGGCTTCTGCAACCAACGCGGCCAAGGTATCCTCCGTTCCGGACTGCTTGCTAGCGACGACTGTACGAAGAGCCTTGCTGAGCTCTTCCTGAGAGCGCAGTTCCTTCAGGCGATCGACTTCGAGGTCTGCGCATGCGACAATCGATCAGTATTTTAACTTCAAAAGGAGGCCGCAACCAACGCTAGCCCCTGAGAGAGCGATGAGCCATCGGAGACGCGGACACACCCACCTTCTAGCACCTTGAGGGCAAAATTCTGTGCCTTCTCATAACCCTGGACGATGTCGCTCGTCTTCAATCCCAAACGGAGCAATTCCTCAGCCTTCTTCAACAGTTCTCCGGCCAGGATGATGACCAGGTTGGTACCGTCACCCATCTCCACGTCCTGCTGCTGACTGGCCATGACAAGTAGCTTGGCGGCAGGATGTACGACATCCAGCTCCCGCAGAATGGTAGCGGCATCGGAAGTAAGAACCATCTTCTGCAGGTGGTTGATGACGATCTTGTTGCGGCCATAAGGACCAAGCGACGTTTGGACGGTCTGCGAGATAGCCTGGCAGGCTTCGATGTTACGGATAACGGCGCCATCTTCGGCATCGTGGCTGCAGATTCCAGAATTAGCTATCTCGCAACGTACGGCCCAGGCTGACTCCCCTCAAGTTCCCCGACTGGAGTCTTGGTTTCAGAGGATATCGGGCGGAACATTCCACAAGTGGGCTTCGCTTACCTCTGATAGCCAGGCTTGAAAAGCCCGGCCTGGGAGGGACCAGGCATAGACAACGACATAATGACAAAAGACTTCCTCTCAAGTTATGCACCTAAAGAAAGAGGAAGATGATAATTAGATCAGCCACAACGCTGTCCTGAAGCTGTCTCTGGGAATTTTTGACGGAGAGCTTGGAGACGGTCTGGCGGCGGATGTTTGTTTGGTTTGCACGCGGAGGGGCTCCCCTAGGGCATTTCCCTTTTGGGCCACTGACTAATGTTGTGATACATTGCATACAATGGTTGGAGATGGGAATTGGTCGTTATATTCATTGTACAGGGTCTTGAGTCCTACTAATTTACAAAAAGATTACCTGGGACTGAGGCATCCACATCCACCTACAGAAGAGCTGTCACCAGCGGTCATGATAAGCAGCTTGTCGGAATCCTGGCACTTAACATCAGAATATCATTAGCCATTCTGCACCGTACAATGAAGAGGATAGGATCTTACTGAAGCCTCCAATGGCATGGCACCCACTATCTTCATACGCTGCTTCCGCTTTGATGGACCTAGCGTCGAGTTAGAACATTCCAGTCGTAATAGTACTTGCGGCACCCTTACCATTCACGGATCGCCTCCATACGGTTATAACTCTTTCATCACATCAGCAAATGCTCGCAAGATCAGCTCTAGCTCCAGTGAATGCTTACCGAGGGATGCGTTGACAGAAATTGTGGTGGTGCTCCCTTCTCAGCTTCCTGCATGCGTGCCCATCTGAGAGGTTGTTAGTTTATCAATACAAGCAATGGTATTGATTGCATAGGACTCGTAAATCTGGAGGACTACTTGTAACTCACAATTCGACTGCGGCCTCGTGGTTGAAACACGCTTTCGACATCATCACTACGATAGATTAGCTGTGTAACCAGCGGTAGACCAACGAACATACTTAACCCGATCTCATCCGCTTCAGCCTATTAGGTGATTAGTTGAGTGACCTTCCAACTGATGGCTATGCCAGACTTACCTCCTGGGTTCGTGAGTTTGGCAGGCTATAGGCAAGGTTCATAAACAATGAAGGAAGTTGGCCAGAGATGTCAAACAGCAGTGAGACCAGGAAGGCAGCTCCCATGGTAATAAAGCTATTGCTCATGCGCTCCGCGGGGTGATGGGCCACCACATGGGCAATTTCATGCCCTAGCACGGCTGCTAAGCCGTCCTCATCTTTGCATATAGGTAAGATACCGGTATAGACAAACACTTTTCCACTGAGCTTTCGTTTAGTATATGGACAGCAAGTATAACATAAGAGATAGCAAAGCAGGAGGTCCTCACCCAGGAAGAACAAAGGCGTTCAGCATGCTGTCGTCCTTTATGACATGGACCTTCCAGTCTGCGCCTTCAATCGGCGCCTGCGGGATCAAGCGCTGAAGAACACGATCCACCTGTATGGTGAGCGGGTGATACTCGGGCAGAATGCTTCCACGGTTTTCGTTCAAGACTTCCTGATAGCTCTGTCTACCCATCTCGAGTTCCCGTTGCGCGGAGACGCAGTTGAACCGTCGACGACCAGTCATCTAGGCGAGAGGCATCAGTACCGGTACAAAACAAAGTGTCGGCCATTTTTGCGTCCTGCGCGATGCCGACTCCACTGGTGCAGCTGTCGGTCGCATGGCGTCAACAATCGGAGACGCACCTCTACCGTGTCGGTGTTATATATGTAGAACCCACTAATCCCCAGCCCTATTATGACAAAGTGGTGTGGTTTGGCATCCTTGATCAAGCGAATGAAGAGCGGCTCGCGCCTCGGGTCATTGAATCGCCGATACTGGTTTCCTCCATACTGGTACCCTCGCTTTGTGGAGGTAGAGAATGGTCGGCCGCGGAACGAACTGGATGAGCGTTGGAAGGTCTGAGAGAAGGACGTTGAGCAACCGGGACGGCTACGGGGTAAGAGGCATGTCGAGATGGATCGAGGAAGAGGGAGCGGCGTGGACTTGGAGGTAGAAGGTGGAATGCGACGGAAGAGCGAGGAAGATGACGCGGTGGATAACCGGGGAAAGCTTTGTAGAAAAGTATTTCTCATTGGTAGGCGTAACATCTTAGGCCGTTTTGCATTCTAAACTGAGGGAACTCCGTGATCGAAAAGAAAAAAGCGAATTTATTGTCCAACACGGCGGAGTAGCGGGCTGAAGCTATTCCAGTTGGGCCCGACAGATCAGTGGATCCCTGGGTCTTCTTGTGTCGCACGGCCAATCAGCGCGGCACCATTTACACCTCAACATCAAAACAAGGGAAATAGTAAATAGTCGTAGCTATATGCAGGGGATTATACAAACAAACCTCTTTTCAGTAGATCAATATTATGACCATGAGCTCTACAAATCAGTCAATGATTATCACAGTGACTTCATTTATGCTCCGCGCATTCGCCTCAAGGTAGAATTATGAATATATATATTCTCTTCAGGTTATTATTGAACTTCATCCCCCCCTCCATTTTTCTTATTCTTTTTTTTATTTTGGCTGGTGCGATAGATATGTTGATAGCTTCTATTTGGAAGGTGTACTATATATCTAGAAAATTACCATTCCTCCTACGTCTATACAGTCATTTATGAGCTCTCAAATATTTCAAAATCCCGGTCAAGATATCACAAGAGTATAGCCCTAACTGTAGTTTAACCGCAGAATCTTCAAGATTAAAAGTGCCACACGTCCTAACTCGAGGATAGACACCTTATTAGTACTTCCAGAATTATCAAAAGAATTATCCACTGTGCCAAACTGTGTAACTAATAAGTATTCCACGGCAACCCAAGTGCTTCTCAAACTTTAAGCACGGATGTCTAGACGAGTCCATTCCCAACTAAACCAAAAGATCACAATACCCAGACTCTAGGTCTGATATCGTCTGCACCTTATATAGCTATATGCCATGAGCCTGGCGCCCTGTCAGCCACCGTGACACAATATCATTAAGTCAACACAAGGTAACATACAGGCTCCAAGACAAGTCCACCGCACAATGCTTTGTATTATTAACAGTGCACCGAAATGCGTTATACAAGACAGGGGGTTTTAAAATTGTACAATGATTCCTTTATCATGGTGGGCAGTTGTTCTCATGAGCTCTTGCCTTGTGCTGGGGCAACGATGCAGGATTAGCGATTATGAGAACCAACGGAAGCCATTAGTTGACTCTAAGAAACGAGGCTGCACCTACTTATCAAGGGTAACATGACTATACTACTCAGGTAGTGTCCTGCTCAACTTATGGGAACTAACATATCTGCATCTCAATCAACAAGCAAGCACAATATCAGTCTAGCTTCGTGTACTCCCAACACTACCATTTGAGTATGCCTCAAGCCACGCATTATACCCGCAGCGTTGCAGATTTGTTGAGCGCAGTTTGCTGAAATGTGATGATGGCGCTATACACCGACATGTCCACGGCAGCATGCAATATCCCAACAAAAACCTGGGCAATACGTCCCACATTAATTTTAGAAGTAAGGCTTCATTCAAAAGCCACCTATTCATGGGCTTATGGCTCAACCACACAATTTCCTTATTTAGTACGCTAAGTTGGTATGCTAAGGCGATGAAAGTGGATTCATACTATTGCTTCAGAAACGACGCTCAACATGACCTCCTATCCAATGGTCCGGTACTCGCTCAAAGAGCATGAAACAAACTATTCCAGAAGCCCTATTCGAGAACTTAATCTGAGTTGGGCACTGTAAGCGCCGCTATTCTGGGAACAGTGGCTAGACCTAGAGCCGCAGTGACGCTCAACACTGCACAGGCATCTAGAACACAGTCAACTGGAGCCAATAAACCATGTACTTGAAACGACCAGTGTATGAAATCTAGCTACGGGTCTACGGAGATAAGGTAGCGGCTCAGCCGCTTTCAATGGTTCAATGTGACTCAATCAATAGCCGCCTACAAGCACAGGAATCGTTTCGCCGTGCTCACTCTGTATGGGCAAAGGTGAATCTCGTCGAACAGGTTCAGCGGCTACATCTAGGCAGATGCCATGCAGGTCCTGTTGGACATGGACCTTGCCTGCTTGCGTTACTGTCTAGGAACATGGATCTGTTTCCTGGATCACGCTGATCGATACGCCGGGCTGCGACGTGACATGATGGAAAGGAACCAGCCGTCAAACAAGCGCCGTGGGATCCGGCGGTTGCAATTGAAATGCCCCATTCTGATTGCGCTGTACCTGCACTCGATCGAGATAAAAATACCTGCGTTGAGATCTCTGGTGGACTGGAGCACAGCGTTACGGTGCCGTCCGTTATTGATCGACCCCGCATGTTAGACCCGATGGACGAACACTAAATCGCCATTCTCGGAGACTGGTAATTTCTATTAATAAGTAGACTCATAATTTGTCATGGACGAGCCCAAGGCAAGTAATTAGGCTCGCTCGGACGTTTGGTGGGTGTGCACTACAGATAGTAGAGGCGATGCCGTGTGCGCCCATCACGTCGGCAATGTCTTCTTTCTGTGCAAGAGTAGGACTATGTACAGCATATTACATGTGCTACCGAGCTACAAACATGCATACAATTGTAGTTTTGTGCATTATTCAGTGACGGCTGCATAGCTTCCCTCGGCCGTGTTCCAGGATTTAGTTACAGACCGGAAACGAATAATGCGGGTGAGGAGAAAAGAAAGAGACAAAGAAGAAGAAACGAACTATTGAAAATTGTGTCTTCGCATTGAGATCTCGAAATAGCCACGAAAGTGACTTGAACTCCACCGCTGTTGTAAATTGTGGCATGTCACTATGCACATCCATATCACAGTTTCTGCTTGTGCTTCTTGACCAGGGTGTCTGCAGATTGACCTCACATTCGGAGAATGTGATTGGTGAACCGTTTAATTACGGCTACTAAATGAATACTAATTGTTAGCGTGCAGCTGCAGGAATGTGATAAGGTCCGGCAGAAGCGTTGTGACGACTTCCAGCCTTGTCAGCACCCTGTCCGCATTTAGGGTCGCCAGGGTCACGTTGCAGAGATGACTGGAGATATTTTGTCCTATACTAGAAAAATCAAAATGAAAAAAAAAATCAAAGAAAAAGATAACCAAATCCTGTGAGGCAACAAGTAACCACGGATGGCTCGCGAACAGAATTGATATCGTCAACATCGCGCACATGAGTCAATGGTGTCCGAGAATTAAGGCGGATTTGTTGCCGGCGTGACAAGTGTGACTGGAGGATCGAAGTTGCAGAATTGACCAAAGCTAATGTGAGCTTCCAGGTCGAATCATCCCGAGTGGGGAAAATCCGGTGGCTGCCAGATCCTGCTGAATGAGGGGAAAAGGATCATGGGAACGCAAGGTTAGCGGCCAATGCACGGGATGGGAAGAATTAGGATTAGTTGGCGCCGAACAGAGCTAATTATGGCACCTTGACGGAGAGTGATATTAATAGTAAAAGCGCTTCAGAGGGAGGAATTATGGCGGATTGTCCAGAAGACGGGCGGCTAAATGATACTAATTAAGATGCTATCACATCTTGGCGCAAAGTCTGTCGGGGTCGCACGGGGCACTTGGTGGTTCTCCACTCACTGACGGTTGGCTGCGGATTTCCCGTTCTGCATGGGCAGTATTAGCCGGCCATCGAATCACCGCGGCAAGAGGGAAGCTTGGCTCACCCCACTATATTAGCGTTCGACACTAATGCTGTATCAATCAACAATCAACTACCAGTACTAGACTCCATGCGGAATTTGCCTGGTCGAGCAATTCAAGAACCCCGCAAAGCTTCCGTGAGACGTCCGAGTACCACATCGACACTGGATTGGTGCCAGCTTTGATGAATGGCGTTTTCTATGTACATTTGGTGTTACTTTTGGCCAAATCTCTTTGGGCATAGTCCGTCCTCGTTTTCGTACTGGTAAGGTCACACCCGTGCCATCGACAGCCTATGGAGAAATGATAGACTCGCTTCGTGTAGCCGTTACTCTGGTCTAGCATGTACACGGTATGAATTCGGATCATGTGGGGATTTAGTTCGTAGACACCTGCCCAATGGGGGCAAATTGTGGTAACTCCAACTAAATTGATCGCTATTTGGGTCCACTATTGGATGGTCTCTTGGTGATTTCCGATATCAGGCCATGAACGGCGGGTTGCCTTTTCATTAAACCCTTAATACCTTCTCTATAGACCGTTGGACTCGGTGGTAACTGCGGGTAAGCGGAAAATAGCAGACCAGAGCTTAAGAATCGGGCGTAGGATCTGGTAAGCGAGGGCGTCCAAATCTCTGGCTATGTCCCCAGGCTCATTGGTAGTATGATCCTGGGGATGTTGTACGGTACCTTGGATGTGCAAATGGAAAGTAGAAAAATCAAATAAAAAAAATAAAATGAAAAAAAAACCCTATCGTAGGACGAATACCACTTAATTCCAGGGATAAACTCGGGCAGATACATTGCGATAGATCCAAACCCAATCAATTTCCCAGCCGCCGATATTGACGAGAAGAAAGTGTCCAATGATACTGGATCACGACCTGCATGGGCGCTAACAAGAAAGGTAAAAAGATTCCAAAATTATCCAAAATTAGTCTGGTTCCTTGCTCGTGCAGGTTGTCGAGACCCCTGCTAGTGGCAGCCGCCAGGGTTCCGTCCTGCGATCATCCCCCCAATCCGCTATCTTTGACGCTGCATCCCACCGCCGCGTTTCCCACCCGATGCTGCTCACTTGCATCCGACGATCTGAGGTCCAAAATAGAAACATCATGGCCTGTCAGTCGGGAAACCTTGGTTTTAAAGCTTCGTCTATCCCGCCGTCATGGCGTTTTTCGGTTCACTGTCTCGCACACTAGTTCTCTGTCGCCGCATCCTTTGCAACCGCGCCTTTCCTTTTCTTCTTATACTTAATTAGATAGCAAAGGCTGCTGGTTCAGCTTTGCGATTGCCCCACGATACCCCATAAATATACCCGCAAGAGCTCGTCAGGCCACTGAAAACCGGTCCCTTCCCCAGCCTATCGCAATTTATATCAGAGTGCACGGACGATCTTGCAATACCATCCCTCGACTCACTCGTCAAAATGCCGTTGACCTCGAGGAAGAAGACCACTCTGATTACA